ATCAAATTAAAATGGAATTAAGATGTCTCTAAAAGAAAATATACCAAATATGTTGGGGTTTTTTTCCTCTTTTTAAATTAATTCTAAGTATAAAAGTAATATATAAATGCATAAGATTACATAAAATATGTAATATGAAAAAAATTCACATTACACATAAGGTTCAAGTACCTTTTGACCGACATCCCCTAATCTAATAGTCTGGTAGGAAGTGTGTCTTTACAGTTTTTCTAAGCAACTATTTACCATTAGGAAATGTATAATCTTTAATGTTACTGTTTTGTGAATATTTTAAATGAATGATACATGTTGTTTTACAACTTGCTTTACTCAGTGACTTGCTAATCTCTTATGTCAAAAAGTAAAGACATTTGAGTGCTTATTATGTAGTAGTCACTCTTCTAAGCACTCAGATCTATTAATGCATTTAATCTTCATAACAATGCAGTGATTATGTTGTGCTATTATCATTCAGGTTTGCAGTTGAGGATCCTGAGGGACCTCTGAGAAGTTAGGTAAATTGCCCAATTTTGTGGTAGAGATGCTTGTTCTGGATTCTATTCCAGGAAGACTAACTCCAGGTCTACTCTCAGAGTAACCATTTTACACTATCTCTGTGAGTTTCATAAACCTACCTCCTGAATGCAGTACGCATCAACCCAAATCCCAGTGGGCCCATCTTTAGAACTTGCAGTGACTGTGAATAATATGCAGATACTGTTCAAGTTTTAAAATGGCACCGAGTGCCTCATTATGCTCCACTTTTCAGTTGACAGCAGCATAAGTGAGGTGTGACTGTTTTTGAGGGGAATAACGCACATATGAATGCGGAGCAGACCCCATTGTTATGCTCCTCCATTCCCCTGGTTCCCTTGCTGCTGTATCTGATCCTTGGGCAACATTCCATTTACGTCAAAAATAACGTCAATCCAGTGAAAAAAACTGAATGACTCACAGTATTACTGTAGGGAACTGGTCTCTGTGTAATATGATATATAACATCCTAATTTCATAGAGCATTTTTCATAACAGCTGCTTAAATCGTAATCAAATCCATTAAATTCTTTTAAAGACTCCAATTTGAAACAATATTGAAACTATTCTAAAAAATGCAGGTAAGTGAGGTCCTGCCCACACAAACCGCTCCATCATTAACTCCTGCATATCTCCTCAGAATGTATCTGCCTGTATCTATTGATCACTTGAGTCTGCTCCTCTTTTATATTTCTAGCTGTATTTGAGTCAAAGGCAGGTTATTTAACTGACTAGAGGATCTGAAAGATAGAATAAATAAGAAATCAGAGGAGGAAAAGGAAATTTTTCTCTTGACCCTCATGGACAACAGAACAAGGTATATTGCAAAGAAAGAAGGGAAAAACTGAGGTCTTGCATTTGGGGAAGCAGTGTTGTATTATTAAGATCTTTCTCTAGGGAATGAGTGACAATGAGGAACATGGCTACCTAAGCCCTTACATCTAGCAGCACTTAACTTAGAAATATTGAGCCCGTTGTATTTCTCCTGTCACACTGCCATCTCCAAAACTGACAGCTAATGTTTTTTAATAAGAATTTTATTCCTTTGATAAATACAAAGCCAAATAAAAATCCCTGGATGTTTTTTTTTTCTTTCCTGTTGCTATATAATTCTGTGAGTTTATACAGTTAGTCCCTGACATGTATTTTTCTTCAGAACATAAAACCAAAAAGAGAATTCAAGGAAAGCAGAAGAATGTGTAGTTTATTTCCATATGTAAGAATGACCCTCCAGAAAGAGCATAGGTTTCTAGGCATGATCACTTTCCAGTCTCTTCCATAGATAACTTAAGGTACAAGTTAGTAAACAAATGAGTAGCCTTCTCTGAGCCTCAGTTTTCTTATGTGAAGAATAAGCTTGGACCAGAATCCCAGTGTTCTCTTGAGGTGTAACATTCTGGTTCTTATATTTCATGGTGGCAAAAGATAGACAGATCACACTTCTGGTTACCCAGCAGCATAAGTCTTGTGCATTTTCCTCCCATCTACACATATCTCTTCTAATACTCATTAGAATGTTACTTACAGTGTCTTTTGTCTATGCATCTTATGGATAGTGCTCCTTCCAGCTTCATTCTGGTATAAGTGCTGTTGAAGTCAAAGTTCTCAGCACCATTTCATTTTCCTGGTTCTCAAAAAGAAAAAAAAAAATTCAGAATGGAATATAAATTACTGGCTTGTAATCTACAATCAGTGCTCTAAAGTGGCTCTGATATTTGCTTTCAGACTCTCAAAAACTGGTAAGTGCATGCAATGTTTTGTAATGGGTTTAAGGCATGCTTTTCAGATGCCAGTTAAACATATCACTAATAGACATAATTTTGTGAGTGCGCTCAAGCAGTTTGCACCTAGTCAACTGATGTTAAAGCAAATACACCATACTGCCATTTTGAGTTGTCTAACAGCAATACCAGGGAAATTACTGAATATTAGTAGAACTTGGAATCTTAGAGTAGATTCTCTGCAATCTTAAGTCCTGCTAATAAGACATTTTCATTTCTCCTCATTTTATTTGTTCAGTAGCCAGTGATGGAGCAGCTACTGCAGTGCAGTCTTGGATGTGGGTGTTCTGCTGGGTCCTCTAGGGTCAGAAATCCATTGCAAAAGGAACCATGTTTACAAAAATGAGACAGACTTCTTCCTTGGGTCTATCAATCACCAAGTAACTAGTTATCAAATCAACCAGACATGAAATCATCTGAAAAGTAGTTTGTTCTTTAGTTCTCAACATATCTTTCTTTTTTTCCTAATAAATATATGAAAGATAAATGGCAATATTCATATGTAGACTGTGAAAGATCTGAGTTTCCTAGATTAGTCACATCTTGTGTGATTTTAAAACTTAAAATACTGGACTCTGGTGGCATTAAAATCTTAACAGTAATAACCTTTCAACACTAGTTAAATTGGAGTGGGTAGCCAGTAGCATGGGAGTCAAGATACCATAATCATCATGGCTGCACAGCTAGCTTTGTAGAGAAGGGTAAGCTACTCTGGTTTTCTCAGCTTTGGGAGTGGAAAATATCCACTTGCATTCTGTCTCACAAAGCTGTAATGAGAAACAAATGAGGTGAAGAATGTGACAGTATTTTGTATTGTAGATCATACAATCCAAATATGAAACAGAAAAGATGTAAAACGTGTATGTACTGCAGCATTTCTAATTATATTATTGCTTTCTTCTATGTGATGTTCTGCATTTTATATGTAAACAGAGCTTGCAAGGTTGACTTTCTCCCAATTATCACAACTAATGAACTCTTAATGGGCAGCTGTGAATATAGATTTTATTGGAAGGAGGAAATTAAAGTGATCAAGGAGATAATTTTTTCTCCATTGGCATGTAAAAAAGTAAAGAGAATACTAATTAGAAAATATCTAGTTGTTCTTTATGTATACTTGCATGGTCTGACTTTTCTGATTACTCTTTTTTTATTCAAGTATAGGAAATGAAAAGTCAAAACCTTGTGTAAATGTCATTGGATGGATATATCTTCTGGGTAAAAGTATATTTACTTGTATTTGTTTGAACCGTATGCCAAATATTCCATTTCATAAATAAGAGACACAACATGAGGTGCTTCCATGTTTTAGTTTTATTGTGTAGTTAGAACACATCTTTATAATAATGCTATAAAAGAAATTATCTGGGCTAATGTTAGAGGAAGAATTTGTTTTATTCTGTTAATACCTTTGCATATGTTTTCTAGAACTCAGGTTTTTTTCTTATTTTTAATAATTTAAATCCAGAAGCACTTAGTTACTAATTCCTTGAATCTGGTTTCATTTGATGATTGCCATCCTGAAAAGATTAAATAGTATTAAAGATCAAAATACTTTATTTTGAAGGAGTGATTCCATATGCAGATGTAAGAAATAGTAACATTCCAAATAAATGCGGGCAAAATATGCTTTCTGAAACTAATACCTAGGTATGTTCATGAGTAAAGTTTCCTTGTCCCCTTTAGAATATTAATTTCCATGTCCTGATTAAAGTCTAGGTGGCGCAATTAAAGGTGGTAAGAGACAGACTAATGAGGACCACATTGGACTCTTCCTTTATTACTTCATTGTCTTTCTGTTCCGCTTTCTCTCTCTCCCACTTCTTCTTTCTTTTCCTCCTCCTCCCCACCTCCCCTTTTGCTCCCTCTCCCCTTGGAGTATTTTTATTTAAAGACTTAAACATTTTCCTGGAAAACCAGCATAGTTTCTGTTGAAGAGAGAAAGTATTCAGAAAAATAAATGAGACAGAAACACAGACAAATAACCTAGAAAATAAACTTAGAAGTTAATGAAAGAAAAGAAAATGTTTTTCCTACTGCATCCATAATGCTAGTACTTATGGTTGTTTAATTTTTATTCATGTAGCCAGATCTGGTTTTATTTCTTCAACTATCTTAAATTTTCTGGTTAAATCAATTTTGTAATTCTGTTCTGATCTTTCTACAGCATTCAAAGAGAAACAAGTTAGGTTTCAGAACTGGGGTAGTAAAATATATTAAGACCAAAGTGATACAGCCTATCAGAAATTTGGAATAGAAAATTCATGCCCATGGTCACCTGCTATTGCCCACACATGTTCTTTGTAACCTCACTTTTTTATCTGTAGGATTTCTAACATCTACCCACTTTGATATACTTTCACCTGATAACTGTGACTACAAACACTCCAACATGCATACATGTAAATGAATGCAAATCAGTGCTTTTTATAATTATGTTGTAGGAAAATATTATGCTCTTGGGATGTTTGATTTTCATTATTGCCTTGGTCGTTTTTAGTGTTGGTTTCTCAAATTCTCCTAAACCCCACTAATTTCTTTGTTATCTATGGGCTATCAGGCTGTAATGGTTATCACCTCTTTCCTGGTTGTTATTGATAACCTTGAGATTTTGTTTTCAGTGTCTGTGGTCTGTCTTTTCCAAAGGTTTCTCTCACTAATTATTTTGCATCATTCTTTTCTTAGACTTGAACGAAGCAGTCCCAGAAACAGAACGCTTGGATTCAAAGGTCCTAAAAACTCGAGCCCAGCTTTCCGTGAAGAACAGGCGCCAGAGGCCCACCAGGACAAGACTCTATGATAGTGTCAGTTCAACAGATGGGGAGGACAGTCTAGAGCGAAAGGTGGGTATCCTTGACAGTTCTCAGACTTGTGCTAGACTCTTTCATAATTCCTATAGCTTACTGAAGATAATGGTTCTTTTGCAACCAGAATCTGTGCCCTAGCTGGAAACAACTGGAATAGCTCCTGTCTTTGTCTCCTGAATTTACACAACTTCTTATATTATCATAATTCAAACTCTTTTCTCTATTCATTCATCAAACTAGCCATGAATGTTATCCATATTGTCATATTTCATGATGGTGCTTTTGATATTCAGCTGTTAGTTTTACCTAGTAGGAAATAATCAGTGTATAAGTAATTGTTTCTGTATGTTTTAGGTATTTGTGTAGATTCAGCATTAATATGGTGAATTGTTATGAACGATGCCTTCCTTTTGGTAAACCAACAAACAAATATTCCTTTTCATGGGTATTCACTAAAAAAAGGTTGGTCTTATTTCAAAGTAAGTATTGCATAGAACTGATCACAGTGGCATAACCTCCTGTATAATCTCTTATACCAACAGCCTTCAAACAGTCTCTATAACCTCATGCATATTACCAAATCAGTTCCGCCCAAGGGTCTGAGAACTTCTTCTCCAGAATCAGATTCTGGGGTTCCACCCCTCACTCCAGTGGCTAGCCATGTGCCCTTCTCGCCTGACCACATAGCAGAGTTTCAAGAAGGACCAATGCACCCAGAAAGGGGGCCTTTCTCCTCTGTTTGGGGAGACACTTCGCTTTCCTCTCCTTCAAAATCTGATCATGATATGGAAGAACCTCCTTGCCCCCATCAAGCTACCAGAAAGAAAATATTACGAGAAAAAGGTATTGTTAATTTTGTTGTTGTTCTGCTTTTGCTTTGTGTGACTTAGCTAACACTCCAATTTGTGCAGTTTAGAAATGACTTGTCTCATTGTCATAAGTCTTTTGTCTTCTCACAGCTAATAATATTACTTTCCTTTTACCTTATGGGATAAGAGAGATCTCTACTCCCATGTATTTTGTGTTATTTGTTTTAATCTTTTCCTGTTCATTTAGTGTTTTTATTTCTTTGGCTCTCTACAAGTTTATTATTGAAGGAAATTCTTTGAATGACCTTCTAAAGATTATGTAGAATAGCAGCTCATAGTTTCAATAAACACTAACATAGTCATAGAGAAAAAATGATATATATTGAAGATCAAAGTGATGTAGGTCACAACCCATTGATTGATTTTTATTCCAAATACTTTTCATAATAACAATTTATATTACAGTGAGTGTAATAGAATAGCTGTGATAAAGATAACACAGGGAGGCTGGTCAAATAAATTAAATTTTAAAATAGGCTCCTAGAATTACACCAAAATTTTATAGCAGCATTAGTAGACTTTTGTCTTTTTAATTATATATTTTACTTTATAGAAACAATAAATTATTGATTAAACAAGCTAACCAGTGTTGAGCGGTATAAGTCATAGGTTTATTCTCCTTCCTTGTCTGATGTTTTTCTTTAAAGTAAACTAAGTAAATTTGGTTGTATTATCTTTCACATCTGAAATGAAATCTACATACACACATTCAAATACTTTTTAACATATGTAAATGAATAAAATACACTGAAATATAACAATAGGGATGAATCTCTGGAATAAGACATCAACTAAAAAAACAAGTTACAGAATATATATAGTTTTATTTACATAAAGTTAAACAAAACTATTTAGGTCATCAGATTCTGGTGTTCCACCCCTCACCCCAGTGACTAGCCATGTGCCCTTCTCGCCTGACCACATCACTATACAAACAAACTTTTGAGGTCCAAATGGGAATGGCAGGAGAGGTCCTTGGGAGGGATGTGCCAGGGACCCCATTCTTGTCAACTGCAGTCCATCAGGCTAGGTGACAAATGGGTGTTTTTTTTTATTGATGTTTGCTTATATTCTCTGCCTATTTTATAAGTACTCTCAACTTCTGCAGTCAATAAACAAACAAAAAAACTTCACATACAAAGGTGAGTGGCTGGACTTTATCTTTAATATACAAGTAGTTCCAAAGAACTGATTTTTTTAAATGTAAAAAATAAGCTAATGATAGAAACTGTTAAATCCTTGAAGATAAAATGCACATTATTTATAAGATATGAAAAGATAATCAACCTCACTGATGATCAAGACATGATCATTTAAATTACATATCTAATTACAAAAATTTGTCAGAATGCTAACATCTTCAGACTGAAATTTGATCAGTCAGTGCTGGTAACAGTGTGAGACACTCATACACTACAGGTATGATTATGCATCACCACAGTTTTTAAAACTCTACTGATTTTTCTCCACCAGATCAGAAATTGTAACCTTTCCACAAACATTTTGTAAACATAGAAATACAGGTGCCTGTAGGGCTCACACTGCTTCATAACTTTTGGTCGTGTTCAATTGTTATTCCTAATTTTTTTCTCCTTGGTTCCCTTTCCTGAACCTGTGAGCTGCTACAGTTTTCTTTCACACACTTTTCCTAACTTCAGCTCTTCTTGAAGGAGGCAATACTTGAGTATTAGGGAGTGCAGAGTACCAGTGGAGCCTGTTAAAGCAGTGGTCAGTTAACTGTGATGCAGGCCTACTCTCAAAAAAATTAAAGACTCCAGAAATTTTTATTAATTAACCCAAAATATGGGATTTGGTAGCACTTTTATAGAGGTACAATTGTAGCAAGCTCACTATCATCTTTTCAAAAAAAGATATGTATAGACTCTGGTCCATAAAAAGGCAAAATAGCAGATGAACATCCTTTGGAGCTAATAGTTAATAATCTGTGATCCACTGTGTGAATTTATAAGACATGGCTTGCTATCTGAGGGAAATCACATCGTAGTAACACGTGAAATCTCACCCAAAGATTTTTATAAGTAGTTAAGCCCTGTCTAGATTATTTATTTCTGCCTTTTACTTCTAAGTTATTTATGATTCTTTGAGGTTAGTAGATATTTCCTCTCAGATTGGACAAGTAGTCCCTGGATATGAATTGTGCTTTAGGGTCCTTTAGCAGTAGCATAGCAATAAAATATGAGAATTTCACCTCACCTCTGATGCCTCCCTTTCTTCCTTTGGAATTTAGCAGGACAAAAGACAAGAGGTGGAAAGTCTCTCTTTTCCAGAGACCAAGTACTTGGGCTTTCTCATTTTCAGTTCTGCTGGGCTGGTCAGAGTTATATATAACAAAGCAGGAGCAGTGAATTGAGCTTTGATAAAATACTAACTTTATAAATAGTCAGTGACTGGTATGGTGACCATTGCTAGGTACTAATGGTGGATAGATGAAAGCAGTGTCAAAGCCTCCCATTCTCTCATAACCTTGATACAAGTTTCCAGCCTCAAAAGAGTTTTCTGTGCCTTCCATGTTCATTTGACATTAATCCAGTTATTCAAGTGTTCACTCAGCAGTTGCTGAGTTCTGGCTGTGTCAGGCTTCATGGTGAAGCTGAATATACAGAAACAAACAGGATTCTGTCCTTTCCCTCAAGGAGTGTGCCTACTAGAGACAGTCTGTCTGCTGTCATCTCCTCCCCCTCCTCCCCTCCTCCCCCTTCCACTCCCTTCCACTTCCCCTCCCCAACCCTTTCTATTCTGGAACCTCCTGCTAGCTTGCTCCTCTGGTGACCTTGCTTCTATGAACCCCCACTGACCACCACTGGCAACAACTGGAAGACACTATGCTTCTTGTCTTTCCACACTTGAACAGTGTCAAAGAGGGAAACCATTCAGCCACTGACTCAGACATAGTCCTGTTGCCAGACAGTGCCTTGGGGAGTTAAGGGTCTGACCTCAGTTTTCTAAATCCAGAATCCCAATAATGTACCCAGCTTCACTCAAGCTCAGGGTGACTGATTCATGCTGTTCAGACCTACAAAACACTGATTCCCAGAGCAGAAGGCTGATTTACTTTAGGAGGATCAGGTGACTTATTAACAAACATCCTTTATTTGTTTTGTTCTGTCTTGTCTAGTTGATAGGTTCAGAAAGTTGCTCAGTGAACATAAAATTAGAGTCAAGTTTACTGGATGTGGACACAGATTATGGCCATTGGCCTATGAGCATGCTGGTGACCTGCTTGTTCACTATAAGCACCACTAGCCTGCAGCTCTCCCACAGCCCTCCCACCTAGTTTCCAAAAAATGGACCTTGGTGTCATTCAGACTTTAGGGAAATCCTGTGCTCCCTTTGTTAGGATGTTGCAGAGGCTGATGCAGCATTGATTAACAGAGTGGGATAATGTTCTATAAAACCCTTGTGCTCCTTGCTGTGTGAAACTGGTCTGCTATTCTGACCTGGACTCAAGCTGTGTCAAAGCTTCACATTCTCTCATTACCTTGATATAAGTTTCCGGCCTCAAAGAGTTTCCTGTGCCTTCCATGTTCATTTGACATGACTCAAGAGAGGTTAGGTATGGTTAACCTATGGTTTCCCTCTTGGTGTATGTTTATGTGTGTGGTTCTTACAACTCATTAGTTCATCAGTGAAGAAACTAAAAAAGGACGTAGTGATGTTCACAGGGACAAACTGGATCTCATGCTTACAATTTCATCTAACACCACACTCCAGGAAAATCCATATCCTTCTTCAAAACCCAGTTTAATTCTCACCTCATTAATGAAGTCTTAGGCCCAGTCACTCCATTTCCAGGCAGAGTACATTATTCTTTTCTCTCTGATTTTAGAGAATTTTTCACTGCTACTTCTGTCTCCATCACCTTATGTGCAATAAGTGATTTAGGAATCAATGTGAGCCAAAATTGCCTTACGTATTAATCCTTGCATTTTTGGTCCCTAAGGGAATATGACCTGTAAATGATATTTCGTAATTTTCTGGATGAAGTACTATCATACTCCAGACTACTAATGCAGCTGTCTAGGACAGGATCCATCAACCGAGCCCTTCTACTTCCTGGTTTGTGAATGAAGATTTATTATAATGCAGCCATAATCTTCCAGCTACATAGGCTTACTTCCATGCCACAGTGGCAGAGTTGAGTGGTTATGACGGAGACTGTGTATCTCACCAACATAAAATACTTACTCCCTGTCTCATTATAGAAAAATCTTCTTGATTCCTAGTCTAGAAGTATCTTTCCACTCCACATTGCTGGATACACTCTGAAGATGGCTTAGTCACTGGTTGCCATTTATTTAGAATTTTTAAATAATATTCTCAATATGCTCAAACTGGAGTTGGGTTTTTCTTAAATTTTTGTCAGTACCACAATGGCATGTCATCATTTTTCCTCAAATTTGAGGGCCCATAGAAGACACTGAGATAGAAAGAGTCCCATTATAACTAGCTCAATGATAAATCTCTAACAGAATGTCAGTTAAATTAGAGGAAGTAAAGATTTTTTTTTCCTAGAGGTCTGTATAACAGGATTTTATGGCAATAGGAGCCATAAAAATACTTTCCTTATTCCTCTTCTATAAGCACCTAATAATAAAATTTTTGTCTCTAGGCTTGCATAGCAACGGACCTTTGACCAAAGTTAAGTAAATTAAACATTATCAGTTTTCTACTTTTAAATACTAGAGATTATTATTCTAAGCTTATATAGTTAGTAGCACATTGCCTGACATAGCATGCCTTTAAAAATCTTCATTGAATTAATACATGGTAAATAGTATTTAGCTTTCTAAAATCTTTGCAGGATTCACTTCTTGTTAAAATATTACACTAGGCCTCTGTAATGATAAATATGGTAAAACTATATCATTGCTTAGAGGAGAGAGAGGTGACATCCAGCTAAGGTTGGTAAATAAAACTTGACAAATAAAATGCAACTAAAGTAACCATTGAAAGACTTTAAAAGAAGAAGAAAGAAAGAAAGGCTAGGTAAGGAGGGCATGAAAGGCAGAGTGAGTGGACATTCACAGAGACAGACACAATGACATAACCTGCATGAGAAGGTTGGTGCTATCCTAGCTGGCTGAAGCAGTTTGTTTATGCAGGGGAATTGTTGAACATCAGAGTGAACAGGTAGTAGGTTAAGTCTATAGCTCTAGAATTTAAATATCAGAGATACCTTCAGATTACTAGGAAACCACCAGTTTGTTTTGAGAAAAGGAAAGGGTACTAGGTATCGGAAGGCTAAATGAGACACACTGAGAGGTGATAAACTATAAAGAAGATCCCTTGTCAATAACAGGACAGAAGGATGCAAGAACCCTTGAAGTATAAGCTGACTAGATAATAGGGGGAAGAAAGTGAGTTATAACTAGTCATAGGGTTTCTAGCCTCAGAGCATAGGGTTTGTCATTAACAGAAAAGAAGAAAAGAGACTTTACGGGGGGGAAATATGGTTAATTCTTAAAAAACAAACAAACAAACAAAAAACATTGGAGGTCATGAGCTCAAGAGATAGGCCAGGGCAGGAAGGTAGATTTGGGTGTCCCCATCATAAAAGAAGGGACAGTCAAGTATCTTTTTGCAGCGAGATTGAGAACAATGCAGACCAAGAAAAGGCCTCAGGATTTAGCCATAGATAATTTATTACCTTTGGAAAAGAAAGCTATATGTGCTTACTTGAAGGCCACAGTGGCAGAGTTGAGTAGTTATAACAGGAGACTGTCATAACCAAAGCCTAAAGCCAACCCACTCAGTTTGGGGTCTCAGACTTCTAAAGAAGTATTAGAGAAATTTCTAAAAGCCTAATGGAAGTCTTAATAAATAAGTTTTTAAAATGTGACATTTATCTTTTCCTGAAACAAGGCCAATCCAGTATTGGTTTGTATATGGATTAGAAGTTCTCATGTGCATTAAAGGTGAATTTGATTAATTTAACCCTACCTCTTCAGTGTTCCTTGGAACACACTTTGGCAAATGTGTCAGATAGTGATGTTTGGTTGCCTAGCAGCAGGTTCTGTGATGGCCAGAATCAGGCTTTTAGTCCTAAGATGTCCAAATAACTGTAACACTAATAGGTAAAGAGCATTTCTATGTACATTTTCTCAGCTGGCCTTCTCTTCACTCATTAAAATACCTCCCAGCTACCTGTAATTCAGAAAATAATTAGGCAGTATTCTTTTAATTTTGCACAGTCCTAGCCTTTAAGAGTTGCTTTAGGATTAATCTGGAAGAATTCATCACTTTATTTTCTTCAGCTTCTATTAAGAAAATTGAAATCCTGCTTTTTTAAATGTCCATTAGCAAAAGCACCCTAGAAGGCATTTGTGCCATGTCTGTGGATAATTTTTTATGTGTGTGTATGTCACATTGGTGGCTATTTAATTCAGTTACTCAAAGAGTAATGATGCAAATATCCATAATAAATATTTTAAGCTAGAAGTGGATTTTGACACGACATATTTCTAACTCTTGTATTTCATTATACACATTTTCAAGGAATTGATTATTGTTATCTGAGTACCATTAACTAAAAATATGAAATGCTCATTTCTAAAAATCCTTGGAGTATTTGTCAGTGTCCTGTGCTGCTTAAGAGCTTTGAAGCTAGACTCCTAAATGAGAACTGTGTGTGCACTTCATATTTTTTAAGGATACATGTTGTTGTCTATTTAAAATTTCTCCTGAAGTGTACAAAACTCGTAAGCAAAATTAACCTGCAAGGTTAATTGAACACTATCTTAAGAGGCCTGTTCTATCTATGCTTCATGCTAGAAAGTTCCTAAAATTCAAGAATTTAAAAGTTAGAGACAGAAACCAACAGGCAATTAGGAAGGAATAATATCACACACAAAAACAGGTGGAATAGTGCCACAGTTGACATGGAACACCATTTGCAGGCCTCTCTTCTGATTAATTTTTGGCATCCTTTGGAGTGTCCCCAACCCCCAGCAGCTACTGTCCCTTTAGAGTGCCCATGTAACTCAAAGAGGTAAAGATCAGGCAGCTCCAAGCACTGAAATTTGGGTGTCTTCCACATCATGGGAGGCCAGCCAAGTTGTGTTCCAACCCAACTATTAAGAAGGACCTTTCAAAGATATCTTTTATAGCTGGGCTCCTGTCTAAGAGTCTTCCCCGTGTTCTACCCTCACCTGTCCAAGGCCGTGAGCAAGTGAAAACTTTACCTTTACTGTCACTGTAAGTCTCTTAGACTCTCAGGTGATATTTTCTTCTGAGCTTTGAGGACACAGAGAAAGTGGGTTGAGTTTCTTCAGAGGCTACAAAACCAAAGGCTAGGTATGGAAAACAGAGCCCAGGCATTCAAACCAAGAGTTGGAGCCAAAGAAAGGACAAAAGGAAGATCTGCTTTGAAGCAGAGGACAGTGTGATAGTGGTTTTTGTTTTTTGTTTGTTTGTTTGCTTCTCTCATTCATTCCAGTGGGATTGACACTAATACTTTTAGTGGTGAGTATTGGGCCTCTGTCCAACAGGACCTCTCCTGCTTAAGTGACTGTTTTTCAACATGGCACATGCCAATGTCTTTTGTAAAGGGCATCCATTATCTTCTTCCACAGTTAGGAATTTAGGCAAATTTCTTAGATTCAGATATGCACTGATTTTTGATCCATGGTTTTAAAAAATAATAATTTATCCTTTTCATATATGTCTATATCCTAGATGATGCCAAATGTCCCAAATCACTAAGGGCATCCAGTTCATTGGTGAAACAAGGAGGAAAAATTAGGCGGAAGTTTGTGGATCTGGGGTAAGCACTTCATGATGTAAAAAGCAAGCCCTCTGTAAAAGGAGTATTAAAGAGGAAATTTCCACTCCCCCTTTCTGACTGTATGCTGTCATTATAGGGCACCTTTGCGAAGGAATTCCAACAAAGGAAAAAAATGGAAAGAAAAAGAAAAAGAAGTCAATAGGTTTTCTGCAGGTAGCAGGTATGAGTGGTTGATTAAGAACATGTATTTATTTCTATACCTGAATTTTGTGGCTCCCTCTTCAATTGCTAACCAAAATCAGCAGTCAGCATCTCTGAGCCTAAGTGATATTCCTAGAGTTAAGATGAAAGAAAAATTGTACAATGAGTTTATATTTGTCTTACTTTAAATATAGCCTACATTTGGCCTTGGGCATATCCATTGGTCCGTAACTGAAGAATTATGTTCACATGAAGAGTTTCAATAAATGTTTTTCTAAATGCAGTATAAATATATCTATGTAATTCTGTAGATCTATTTCAGATTCTTTGCCTAACTGCCCACAATGCTAGTGCCTTCTTTTTTTAACTCTGAAAGAGTAACTTTGCCCTTAAATACCTTGTTGGGATCAGGACTGTAAACATGCTTGTAAGAGCAGCCACCTTTTCTTTCTAGACTTGGGTATTTAATTGATTTGCAGGTACTGTCCACTGTCCTTAGTTTTCAATAAAGGCTTTCCTATAGAAATAAGTATTGAACAGAATGTCATCAAATTTTATCAATTTTATTCTAAGATTACATGATTTTAAGTTTAGGTTTATATAAGAAAAGAGTAAAGCATCAAGCTCTGAAATCCAATTGCCTGGGTTTGAATTGTAGCTCATAAACCTTTTAAACCTTGGACAAATTACTTAGCCCTCCTTACCTCTGTTTTCTCATGTAAAATGAGGGTAATGGTACCTACATATAAGGTATAAGGATTAAATGAGTTTTCATGTACAGCATTTAAAATAATACTTGGCACACAGTAGGTATTCAAAAATAATTGTAATGATAATAGTTTGCTGCTATTATTATTATTTGCAAGTTACAAAGTGGTTTTACATTTACCATTTCATTTGATCCTTATAATGAGATCGGGAGGATAGATGATAGTGCCGTAATTTATTGATAAAGATCTGCACCTTCATAAAATTAAATTGGTTTGCTCAGGGTTATGTAGCAGGCTGTTAATGCCAACCTGGGCTGTGCTTCCTGTCTAGATGTCTTTCCAACCCACCATGCCATTTCCAGTTAGTGATGCATCTATTGATGCTTAAATGTCTCTGCAAATTTGGGGAATCATCTCAGAATTATAGACTATGAAAGAAACAGACAAAATGCTTAAAGTAAAAGATGTAAAATCATTTATCCACTTCATAGTTTGTCTCTGCTATGTCCTTTTCTTTCTTTCCCTCTCTTTTCTGATACCCTCCCCACCACCATATCTTTTCTTGATTAGAGATTGTACAGTCTCCTTGGTATTAGAACAAAATGGGTGGTGGGTGAAGAAAAAATTTCCCAAACTAATTACTTTGTTTGGCTGGTTTTCCTTTATGCTGTACAATGGAGAAAGGGTAGAACACCTTTATTACATTGAGGGCAACAAATCTCAGGAAAAAATAAAGTAAATCTGAGGTAATATGCAACTCAAAAGCAGTTTTTAGCTTTGTGAGGCTTTGGAGTAAGAAATTGCAAAGAGTTTACTTTGTGCTTTAAAACTAACAACAACAGCAAAATACTCGGGAAAAAAATAACAAGGCCATTTAAAGAAGAGAGAGGGAAATGCACAAAACCCAATGGAAGAGAAACTCCCATGCTTCTGGAACGACTGTCCTTCCATTAGTCCCTGGGCATCGTAGGCTGTCACTACCTCATCCCTTTGAGACTCCAACCAAGAGAGAGGTGTGAACCCAACAGGCTGTGTGGGAGCAGTGTTTGTATTTCAGGTGAAAATTAAGCCGATCTTGATGGTATTGGTGAGTGCTTGCTGTACCATAAGCAAAGCCACAGACAGTCTGGAGAGGGTGGTCAATGGTCACCACAGCTAGCACAGCTCTTGAACCTGCAGCAGGCTGCTTCCTCTATTGCCTGGCCACTGGTACCCTTGTAGAACATTAATTCTGGATTCTCCCTACTTCTGTAGTCATAAATAATTCCTCACATACCAATGCTACAAAAGAGTTTTCAATTAGAATCATAATTTTATAATTATTTATAATAGAATTTTGCCAGCATGGAAAGGAGTTCATGTTATTGAAATAGGATGAGAATAGAAAAATTTTTTTCTGTTTCAAAAAAATTATTTTTGCACAATGGGAGTAATTGGGTAACACTAATCAAATCTAATGACAGCCTCTGTTCTCCTAATATGGAATGATAATGGGCCCAGAACTTAAGAAAATGTATTCCAGGGAGAACAGAATCCCTGCCCAGTAGGAGCTTAATGCAGTGAGTTGGCTTCACAGGTCCCATGAAGGTAGGTGGGCATAAGTATAATCAGCTACAGGGTCACACTGCAATTACAGAAAAGAGTCTGGAACAGACTCCCCACCCCATGCCACTTTCTCAGATAAAAGAGGGAAAGATTCACAGATTGGGTTAGTAATCTTATCTTTTAGGCTTTTCATCCAATTCTTACTAGGTTGTTAAAATCTGTTGAGGTCATCAGCCAGTTATAACCTGTGGCTGTTTGATTTTTAAGAAGGATAGACATTTGCTAAATTTGGTTTTGATTTTAGATTTTTCCTCCCTTATAGTACAGTTTACACTGTTGTGTTCCTTGTGGAAAGATAATGACTCAGATACATGACCAGCATGAGACAGATTGAGAAAATAGATGAGAATAATAATCATAATAAATAAAACCAACAAACGAATATGATTTGGTTCTATAACTTTTTAAATAAGTGCTCCATGAATATTCCAATTTAAACAGGAAGCATAGAAGCTACCAAAAGTAGGAAGCATTTAGTCATCAGAATTATTCATCCCTTAAAGGACACACCTGAGGGTCAAATAAAATCCTGTCCTCAAATCCAGAACAGGTGAACACTGTTACCAGTGGAGTATCTCCTTGGAGCTCGTGGAGAAGCTCTGTGAGCGAAGGTGTGTGTCTCTGAGCGAGATTACATGCCTCTGTGGAAGTGAATTTTCATTCACTTTGAATGTGTGAACAGTGGAAAACACACTGAACTGAAATCCAAGGTAGTAGTCTTGACTTTTCCAAAAGTAAGTCACCTTGGTTTCCTAAGAAAAAATTAATGGGTTGGGCTAAAAGTGCATGGCCCCTGCTCCCTTGTCCACCTTTATATGCTTTGTCCAGTAAGGTCACCTCTGGTCAGATATAGCTCCTGAGTTATCTGTGCTGAGATGTACTAGGGAAGAAATGCATGCAGTATTCAGACAGTATGAAAAAAAGAATGTGAAATATCTTATTAATTTTGTAATATCGATTATGTGTTGATAGAACATTGTGCATTGGGATTAGATAAAATGTATTAGTATTAAAATTAATTTACCTCTTTTTTCATGTATCTACTAGAAAATACACATGAGATTCATATTTGTATTGAATAGTGTTGATCTATGTGATTCTATGAAAAATCCTCCTTTGATTTCTAACTCATTACCTAGCTGGTCTATAAATTATCACATATTCATGTGTTTATTCTTTTATTTATTTACAGTCTGCTCCTTTGTTCCAAAAATAATTTGTTTATATACAAAAGTACATGGTCTGTATAACATAATTTTTTAAAAAATAAATTAAATAGGAAAAGTAAAGTTGGTACTTACCTACATCATCTTCAACAATACCTTCATAGTAAGTGTCGTAGTGGCCTTTCGTGAGAGCCAAGAGCATAATAGTAAATGGTCAAGAACTTGAGTTCAAATCTTGGCTGTGCTGTTTACTTTAGACGAGTTATTTAACCTCTCTGTACCCTAGTTTCCTTATTTGTAAGATGAAGAAACCCTCACACGTACACACACACACACACACACACACACACACATCATGCAGCCCTCTTTGAGTGTTGGGAAGATTGAAGGGATCACATTTAAGCACACTTTAAGTCCTTAATAAACATAAATGGCTATCATTATCATTTACACTTGAAGCAAGTTTGCTGGGAGGGATTTAAAAGTATTTTCAATCCATATTTTGCTGGCAGTCTTGTTCATCCAAGAAAGACTTTTGTCATCTTTGAAGAATGAGTGGGCTATAGGGATTATACTTCAGGCAATCCTTCAAGATGATTTTTCTCTCAGAGGTTTTAGATAAATCAAGGCATGACAGTGAATTTTAGATTATATGCTATGACAAGTACCTGGAGGGCAGCTCTACCCTGTGGCTGAGTAAGGCAGGGCCCCACTTACCAGTCATTGGGCTGGGTGGAAACGCACCTTTTAACAAAGTTGGGGATTAAGATGCATGCATGTGTCTGAATAGAAAAGCGCCTCACTTTTGCCTGTGCCTGGCCAGCAAAAGCACTTGCTTTCATGTGATCTTTGGGTAATGTCAGCTCAGCCCTATTGAGGAGATTTATTCAGCCTAGAATTGGCCCACTTTTAGCTGCACTTAATATTCAGTTTTCATTTTAAGAACTTTAAATGCCCGAAATCTAACAGATTGACATACCCAACAAGCAAACACATTTACATGTTTACAAAAACTCTCAAAAATATAAGGCTGGAATTATAACTTTTTTTTATAATTTTTATTGTTGGTTGTTCAAAACATTACATAGTTCTTGATATATCATATTTCACATTTTGATTCAAGTGGGTTTTGAACTCCCATTTTTACCCCGTATACAGATTGCAGAATCACATCGGTTACACATCCACTGATTTACATATTGCCATACTAGTGTCTGTTGTATTCTGCTGCCTTTCCTATCCTCTATGATCCCCGCTCCCCTCCCCTCCCCTCCCCTCTTCTCTCTCTACCCCATCTACTATAATTCATTTCTCCCCCTTGTTTTTTTTTCCCTTTCCCCTCACTTCCTCTTGTATGTAATTTTGTATAACCCTGAGGGTCTCCTTCCATTTCCATGCAATTTCCCTTCTCTCTCCCTTTCCCTCCCACCTCTCATCCCTGTTTAATGTTAATCTTCTTCTCATGCTCTTCTTCCTTACTCTGTTCTTAGTTACTCTCCTTATATCAAAAAAGACATTTGGCATTTGTTTTTTAGGGA